TTTTACATATTTCTGTATCCTCACATTGATATCATCATGCATAACTGAGTAATTGCTTTTCATACTTTTATGGAGAGGATTACATGAAAATGATTTTTTCCCTATGGTGAGCCCTACGGTGTCTGTTGAATATGTGGCATTGACTTTGTTCTGCATGGACTCAGTAGCATAGTTTCCACATCATTTCTTTAGTTGCAATCCCCTTATGTGAAGTCTGCCAGAATGGGTGCAAACACTTGTACTGTTTTACTGAATTGGAGCTTTCTGGCTAGTTGTTGGGCCAGGCATGTGTGGACACAAAGGGCCAAATGGCTGTTTGGTGGGCTTATGAGACTAAGAGTTTCTGCCTGCTCAGCTATCAGGCCATGTGTAGGTGCAGCTCTGATACTGTGTCTCCAGGGGGTGGTGCACTGCCTGATGAGCTTTTGGATTGGAAATGGGTGAGCCTGGGTACAAGATGGGGCAACTCTTCCAAGGCCTGTCAAAGAATGCTACTGTCTGGGCAGCAGCTGACATGCATAGGCACCGCAGAGCCAGATGGTTCTATGCAGGCCTGCCTGAGGATGCAAGCCACCACCCCATTCACTGTTCAGCAGATACAGGCACACATCAGTACAGCAGGGTCTGGCAGTTCTGGGAAGGGCTGCTGGATAAACAGTCAATCCTGGAGCCTGCCAACAAGGATGTAGCAAGGCCTAGCAACTTCATTATATTCTACCAGAGAGAGGCAAGGCCACTGCCTGGTTCATTGTCAGACAAGCAGGAGGCATACACCAGAGCAGCAGGGCCGAGCAGCCCTGTGGAGGACTGCTGGATCAGCTACTAAGCCTGTACCAAGCCTGCAAGGGTGCAGGCAGGTCTGGCGGCTCTGCAGAGGCCTACTGTAATAAGGAAAATCTATTGCCCTCTCTGCTGTCATTCAGGGAGCAGGTGACCACTGGTGCTGCAGGGCCTCACAACTCTGTAGAGGGCCATTGGATCAGGCATTAATCCTGGAACAAGCCTACAATGGCACAGCCAGTTCCAGAAGCTCTGTAGAGGCCTTTCATGGAGGGTCAGAGCCACTGCCTGCTCTGCTGTCATTCAGGAAACAGCAGAGTCTGATGGATCTGTAGAGGCTTGCTATGAGAAGGCAGGCCACTGCCTGATCACTGCTGGTCTGGGAGCAGGTGTACACTGGTGAAGCAGGCCCTGGCAGCTCTGTAGAGGGTCAAGGGGAAAGGCAGGGCTACTGGCAGGCTGGTTGATGGCTGATGCGGGTACCTGTGGGCTTACCAGGCCCATGGGTTGTGCAGGGCAGGGGTGTGCGAATGTGGTGGACCACCACTTACTGGCAGTTTCCCTCTGAGCAGGCAGGTCTGCTTGTTCACCTGGGTGGGTAGGGGCAGGGGATGCCATGTGGGTTCAAATGCTGGGGTATCAGTCTTTCTGTCTAACCTTGGCACCAGGCACCTGGAGTTGTGGTCCTGCAGACACCCCTGTGAATGTGGTGCAATGAAGGTGCACCCTGAGGATAGAGGAAGACTGTTTCCCCCAGCTGCCCAGGCAGGCTACACTCTAGCCAAGTGTTCAGCTTCAAGATGACACTGTAACATAACTGCTTAGGCTGGGGTTAGGTTCCTCTTCCTGGTTTTCTACTATGAGGTGGTGAAGCTGCNCCTTCTGGATCCCACCCCCAACTGCTCAACTCACTATTGAATCAGTGCCCTTCAATGCTGCCGAAGGTCAGGACGTTCTTCTCCTTGTCCACAATATGACAGAGAATCTTCTAGTCTATCACTGGTACAAAGGGCAAGAAGTGCTCAACAACCAACTCATTATATCATATATGATATATACTCAAGAATATACCTCAGGGCCTGCATACAGTGGTCGAGAGATATTATTCCCCAATGGATCCCTACTGTTCCAGAATGTGACGCTGGAGGATACAGGATACTACACACTACAAATCATAGATATATATGTCAGCGCTGACCAAGCATCTGGACAGTTCCATGTATACTGTAAGTGATTCCTCTATGGCCTCTGGGTGTTGGGGTGGGGTCGATTCTACTTCACACACACAGAGGACTGTAAGGCCTCGATTGTGCCTACATCCCCCTTGCATTATGTTCACTTCATGGTGTCCCATAATTCTCATAGACTTTCTTCACTTTCAAAAAAATAAAATTCCCCTCTTTCTGGGCTATTTCCAAAGATCTGTTCTTCAAGTTCAGAAATTCTCTCTTCTGCTTGATCTAGTCTTTCGGTGAAGCTCTCAATTGTACTTTTTATTTTATTCATTGAATTCTTCAGCTTCAAGATTTCTGTTTGGTTCTTTTTCCTGATTTCATCTCTTTGTTAAATTTCTCATCCAGATCCTGAATTGTTTTCCTGATTTCATTGAACTGTTTGTCTGTATTCCCCTGTATCACATTGAGTCTCACTGAGATCATTATTTGAAATTCCTTTAGTGGCATTTTGTAACTGCCCTCTTCTTTGGCATCTGTTGCTGGAGCCTTACTGTGTTGCTTT